GTTAAGGATGAATTAACAAACTGCTAAGCACGACTTCAATATTACAATCCCTCTAACTCTTGTTCAGCTACACAAACGCCCTCCACTTATACACTCACACTCTTCAGTCACATTTGTTCCACCCACTGCTTAAGGAGGACACTAAATATATAAACAGAAAATCGCTGTGATTGTGGGTGTATTCTGCCTGAGCAGCACACACCGAAAATATGTCCTTATAATCACATACGTATTTCCTTCATGGGTTTTATCAGCTCGTGTGAGTCACACTGCTACACTTCCTTATAATCTAGACAGTGATTTGGAAGGCTTATGCTAAAATATGAAAAAAATAGCAGAGAGCTTTCCCCTTCCAGATGTAAGGGGGCAAATCTCATTTCCACAGTTACCTATTACCCCTAAGGACTGGGAAGCAATTATCCACCTAGGAAAACAATTCTTAGTGTACTAAACTGCCCTAAAAGCACATGAAGATTAACCAGAACTGAAAGTTATTAGGAAGGGACAACAGACTCTGTGGAAACTCAGACCAGTACCAGTTTTCTTTTTTATGTCTCTGAGTCTCTAATTCCTTTAAAGTTTTCAGCTTCAAGGGTTAAGGGCTTAATACAGCTACACCATCTGCCCTCTTCTTGGAGATCTCTTCCCATACTGTCTTTTGAACTGAGCTCTTAATCTGCAGGTAGTGCAATACATTACAAATACCTCGGACAAGTAGATGCATAACCTGGCCAGCTGGCTGGTATTCAACACTCCTGCCCAAAATTGCTCTTTACCCAGCTTTTTCTGTTCCTTGTATCCAACCATTTCTGCTGCCATGAGTGTTTTATTCCTCTATTGTGCTGCATCCCTCATAGCTAAAGGCTTCTTGCTGTCTTCTCTTCATCCCATTCACACTCAGAACCTCTCTTACTCTCTTAATTCTGAAACAGATTTGTCATTTGTATAGTCCAGTAATCTCATCTTCTCACAAATAAAAAAAGAAAGAAAAGAAAAAGAGAAATGGGAGACTTAACAAGAGAGAAAGATAAAGCTAAATTATCCTCAATTTCTATGCACCAGTGCTTCTACACCAAATCCCAAAGACAGAGTGCTATGGGTTTCAGAAACAATGCCTCCCAACTGACCTAGTGGGATATTTTCTGAAAAAGTACCACTCTTTCAATGGCACGTGCAGCCCAAGCCAGAGGAGTATCAGAGCAGCTGGGCCTGCAGACAGCTGCCTGGAACTCCTGCTGTTCCCAGAGGAGCACGGGTGTGTTCCCAAACGCCGCGTCCGGAGCTGTGGCACGCCACAGGCTGTGCCCGAGCCCTGTCCCACTGCTGGCACCTCACCCACTCTGTGCACACAGCAGAGACAGCTGCCAGGTACCACGCTGCTGCTGGGCACGTCAGCCTGCCCAGCTGCTCCTACAGAGGTTCAGAAAAGAAATCCAAGCAGGGATCATGCGATTCCTCAGCGCACGGCATTTCTGTTCTGACAATTCCTGCGGCCGTGGGCGGAGGATCCAAACAAAATGATGGTGCTGTTTCTTAGCAGCCGTATCATTTGAGTTGCTTCTGAGCTCCTGGGTGCTTCTATTTCTCAACAGAAGATTGAGATTCTGTGTCTCAGTAGAAATATTTTTACTTCTCTGTTAAAAAACAATGGAAGTTTCACCTTGTGACCACAGCAAGACAAAAAAAGCAGCACAACCACCACTGGGCTTTAAAGAATCATCCCGATGATCAACTATCTTAAACAAAGCTGCAGATGCTAATCATCAACTCAAAGCTTTTGCAGATAATGAGATGTGCTGTACAGACAGCAAGATGAACAAAGCCAGAAATTCACTAGCAATGTACTTCACTCATATCCTTTATACAAGAAAAAACAACTCCTAACTTTCTGTTAGAAAGACTCAGAGTTCCAAAGCAATTAATCTTACACTAACAACTTCTTATTCATCTCAACTTCCCATGAGCAGGGCTATGTATGTGAACTGGCATAGATCAAGGGATGAAGCCTTTTGAGCATAATTATACTTTTGAGACAATTAAGTAGCTATTCTTTAAAGTCCTCAGCAACTCATTCCCATTTGTCTTTGCTCTGCCTCTTTTCCTTCTTGCTAGAGTAACAAATTTGGCATCTTGTAGCCTGCTTCCTTACACTGAGACTTCAGAGCTGCTCTCACAGTGTGATTGATAATTGTCAGTGTAATTGGTCCAGCCAGAACTATCCTCAGGATGGGAACACTCTTCATGTAGAAACATACAGATAAACTACCCAGTGAGAGCTTGCAGTTATCCCTAACACAAGCCTACATCCCTCTGTATTTAGTTAATTTTTTCCCTGTGCCAACAAGATTAACAAGAGGGTTCAAAATCATTTGCTTTAATGCAGAAATAGCATCATGCTTTGAGGAATATGAAAAGATGTCCCTGTATGAACAAGCAATTAATTCTTCAGTTGGATGTTTTACATCAGCAAGGAAGAGGGAAGAGGCTCCTATCCACTGCACAAAAAATTCATTTCAATGTGTAAGTGAACTGGCATAGATAGGAGAATGATAGAGAAGCAGAAAGGAAAAAATCAAATGAGAAAAATCACAGGAGAAAGATACGTTCAGAGGAAATTGAAAGCTCTAAAACACATTTCAAAAGGCCATTTCAGTACTGGGTAAATGTGAAAAAGAGATGAGCTCATGGCTTTTTGTATGTGCAATCAGATATACTTTTACACAAATTACTTGGTCTTATCCAAGTATATAGTATAATCCAAAAATGTTTTTCCTCTTATTAACATATTATTCATATAAAGAAACTGTGTTTCTTGAACTCATTAGAATGTTTTCTTCTTATAGTTATGGAACTCATTAGGTTTACAATCATTCACTAAAATTATTCCATACCCTGATGAATGCCCTATTACACATACTGAAGAATAATTCAATCCTACTTGGGGCTCTGCTGTTTTACAGGCTTAGTCTTTGAGAATAGTATATTCTACAGAAGCAGTACATTTGAAATAAGATTTCTGCCTTTGTTTGTGTTTGCCTATTTATCTAAACGACCTCATTCAGGCTCCACTGAGGCTTACCCAGGAGTACTCTCTTAGGATGAAACTTTCCCCCCAGCCATACTTGCTTTTAGTCTAGAGAACTTCAAAGGGGTTTTTAGTGATACAGCAAAGTGCTGTTGGTCTGAATTCTGGGTTCATCCCTTCTAGTTCACCAAAACAGAGTTATGTAAGTTCACAGCTAAAAAGATTATCCATCGAACTACTGAAGTTAGACATGGATTACAAAATCAGGTCGAGCTAGTTCCAGGCAATTACTCTTTACATTTAATTTCTTGGTGTTTAGTTCCAGTTCACCTGCAATGTACTTTGTAACTTAGTAGAAGAAATTTCATTATTAGGGCTTTTTTGTTGATATTTTTTTTCTTTTTTCCCTTCCCATTTGGTGGAAAGTCAATGGTAGTTGGGGTTTGTTTTTCCTGAAAATGGTCATCTAGACTGGTGAGACAAAGTGAGACAAGGTATCAAACAGTTCTGGGACTAAAAGAAGCATACCTACAAGAATTTCTATGCATCCTTTAATATGTCCAACTACTATTCTCTTTACCAGAGCCCACACCATTTTCTGAACAAATTTAGGGATCCTTCGCATGAGAAAAGTAATGTTTTAGCATTCTTGGGTTGTTCAGATTAACTTCTTATGGAAATGAAAAAATACCATAAAGGTATTCACAATTCCCATGGTTTGTGCATTCAACGTGTTTGCTTATCTTCTGGGCAAGAGGAGCCAGGGCACAGACATTTCATAATGAGGTTTCATTCACCTGGGTTTTACCTATATTTATTGCTATTCTGTAAGTTTTAATATTGAGTTTTGTAGACAATTCATTTGTATTATTTTAAGCAATTAAAATTGGGTTAATGATATAAGCATTTGTATGCTATGGAAGTCCATGGGTCAAAGTGTAAACACAGGGTAAGACTTGTCACACTTTGCTCCCACCCACTTTGTTTTGTACCTGATATTCAGAGTTGAGGTGAAGCATAAAAATGCAGCATCTTCAGTATTTTGATGTGATTTTTCTTAAATAGTTTCAAGTGCTTTTCCTTCTATTTCATTTATTTTCTCTCTCTGTGACTTAATTTTTTGTGTTGGATGAGAAGTATCAAAAATGGTGAGGTTGTAAGCATGAAAGAAATGCAAAGCGAAAGGAATGAAAACCCAAGTGTTGCTCTGGCTACATCTAGAGGGGTTAGCCCACACTGAGAAAGACAGCTCAGATCCTCCTTCAGGCTACAGATTTTTCTTCTTTAGTATGGGACCAATAGTTCAACTTCTCTGATTGAAATTCCTCATTTCAAAATGGCTCCAAATTATAGCACCTAATAATTGTTAACAGTATTACGCAAACAGAAAATAATATTCAAGAATATGTGAATGTTTGAAAGGCAGCCATTGCAGGTCATCTAGTCATTCCTTCACCCAAGTTAGAGAGGTTTCTTCCACAGCCTCTCTAAACCCAGTAGATGGATATGATGACATTATTATTTCCATATACACACCAGACAAAATGCATCAGTCATGATGATGACACCTCTTCCAGTTGTTTAATGTTATAACAGGAGTAAAATCCATGTGCTGGAAGACTTAGACTCATTGTCTGCCCCATGAAAATTAATGTGCTGCGGTTTATGGAGCAGGAGGCCATTAAGCTAAGTCCTGTTCTTTGCCATTCCTCTTACACTGAAATTCACCATTCTTACCCTCAATTGCTTCTTACTGGTGACATTAAACCCATATTTATCTTTTGATAAAGCTCTCTCTTTCACTGATAGAGAAATGTAGAGTCAACAGACACATCTATGTAAAAAACCAAACTAAATATTATGTAATACACATCATATTCCCATATTCCAATCTGATAGAGGATTTCATCAGAAATCCTCTGCAGAAATTTTCACATAAAATTTTTAATTACCATATTCCTATTTGCTTCCACAGGTGAAACACGAAGCTTTCTACAATCAAAAAGCAGTTCATACCCTCTGTGGAGACTGAGTCATCACTGCTGTTTTCAAATATATCAAAGATGTGCAGCAGCAAGTTTTCTACTGCAGGGCAGAAGTGCCAAGAGGACCTACAGTTCTTCTATTTTGTGTTAGAATAAAAAAATATTTGTTTGAAGGTACAATGAAACGAGTCACCCTAATTCAATTTCATAGGCATTCTTTCACCAGTGGTTTGAATGAAGCCATCCCAGAGTAGGGATCACTCACATCGGTTCAGAACTGAGCTAAACACTTTTTAACGGCAAAACAGTCATGCTGCGAGATAGCTCATCTACTAAGGAATTGCTCAGAGACAAAAATAAAGGAAGTAAATAAATGGATAAATGTTCTCTAACACTTAGGCCAGCTTTACTTTGTGATCTACATGAAAACACTTTCTGAAAACAGAGGCCCATGCCCTTGGCAGTGAGGTGAGTTAGAATTGAGTGGAAGAGAGCTCCTGTCTTAGCACCAAGTAATTTGACTTTGTTTTACCTTTTTTCTTTATTTTAAAGACTTCAAGAGAACGGTACTAGCAGGCTCAGAGCTACTAAAACTGAATAACTGTGCATACACAGAGAAAGAAAAGAAAGGAAAAAACTTGGTCCCTACCGTCTCCCACAAACTGAAGGAGGGCGAGATCAATTTGTCTCTTCCAAGGTGATCCTTTCTGGAGAGCAATCCCATAGCCAGTAGTGGCAAAGATGTACCCACTGCCTATTGTGACAAGTTTGCAGCCTTCATCTCTTCCAGCCTTGTAATTCAGCACCGCTGCATCATAGATGAAAGCATCCAACTTCCTGAAATAAAAGAAAACATTTTACAAACCAAATCATTAGGGACAGCTGTTGTCAGACTTCTTTTGTCCTTGATGTTAGGACCCTGTTGAATATCATATGGATTCTTTGATATAATTAATTACATATCCTGCTCTGCTGTATCTAAAATTAACAAAAGGCATCTATTTTAGTGAGGGAAAAGTAGGACACATAGTTTTGCATTTCTATTTTAAGGGATGCTGTTAAAAAATACTAAGCAGGAGAAACCAATCTACAAAATGTCTTGCCCTGATATCTTTGTATCTTTGCTCTTGGTATGGATGGTATGTTCTTGAGATGAATAATAGTTTCCAAAACCAACAGAAATTACAGCAGAGAACTTATAATTGAAACAACAATAGACAATTAGTTTATTTAAAATACTGAAGGAGTTTGAAAATGTTCACCAATTTTGCATACACACCATTGTTTTACTTCTCTTTCCAAAAATAAACAGTGAAGCTGGAGGTTAAGTCCTTGATAAGACAAAGTCCTTGATATACTGGAGCATATCTCATAAAGCTACCTAAATCCCACTTAAATATGATAGAAAATATTTCTTTATGATTCACAGTTCCAAACATATTATTCGTGTATCTGGAGCACAGCAGGAAGAAAGGAACTTGTGAAAAACTTTAAGCCTTTTACCCCATCTACCTAAAAATGGAAGAATGGGATAATCCTATTCTGTAAAGAATACAGAGAACACAACAGGAGTGGAAAACAAGTCCAGTAAAGAAAGGAAAAGAAGCAATGTCCTCCAGGGATACTTCTCAGAAGCACCGTAAAGCAAGTGAGAAGGCAGGTGCATGGATGTTTCACAAATGAAGGCAGAGAAAAGGCACATACAAGAAGAGGAGGCCATTTGGAAGGGCAATGACTTGACAGAAGCAGATCCCAGGCAAAGAAAAGGCATCCACATGCCAGAAATTCATATGCAAACTTCAGAAAGAAACAGAAAAAGCTTTTATTTTGCATTGCTGCCCTCATCTGCAGCCAAAACTATTTAAGATGTTTACTACTTGCAGAACAGCAGCAGCCTACAACAGCAAGAGGAAAAAGCTGTTGGGGCCTCAGCTCCAACCTCACCTGAATGCCCACAAAAGCAAAACCACCCCATTCCCAGGAACACACCCTCCCTTCCCAGCATCTTTGTGATCCCAGATGAAGTCAGAGGAGCAGGAAGGACACAGCCACACAATTGGCTTTGCTGGATGGTGTGGAGGAGTCTCCACCCTGCCTCCCCATGGGCTGTGCAGCCCCAGGCACTGCCAGCTCTCCCTGCTGAGCCTCTGCAGCAGCACAGAGCATCACCTGCAGCACTGCTGAAACATTCTGATGGGCTGCAGCTGGCACAGCTGGGAACAACTCTGCCCATCAACAGTTGGGGCCTGTCTCCACAGAAAGGTGGCAATAAAAATAAATGTGCTGTGGCACAAACAGGTACTACAGCATCAGCTTCAATTACATTATATCAGGATGCACCAGTTGTGACCTCTGTTGCTATGAAGTTTTGGAGTCATGCTTGCTACTAAGCTTAAATCAGTTTATGTTGATAAAGCTTTTCATTTATACCCACAGAATGGAGCAAGACCTAGACATATCACACTTTGACTACTAACAGAAAAAAAGCCCCAACAAGCTTTCATGCATATCATAATTCAAAGTTTATTCATAAATAATCAATCAACAACAACTCTAACTTTTTCAGAACTCTAAACCAAATACCAAAAATGTGGCACTAAAGAAACATATGTCTATCTCACATTAAACCAAGAGGAATACCAGGAGAGAATTAAGTTGTTGGATTTTGTCTGCTGCCATGAAAAAGGGAGCTTACTGCCACTAATTAATGTTCTTTATTGCTTTTCTTCAAGGATATTTGTCCTAACAATCACCATTCAAGTCATCTCATTGAAATTTAGTGAAGTGGTTAATTCAGAGTAGAGATGGTTCATGCAACCATTAAAAAAATAGTTGGACCATCAGTTCTCTTGCTTTTCCCCTCTTCCCTAAAATTCAGTTAGTGCAACCTTGAGTTTAGAAGTCAGATTAGCTCCAGCAATGCTCAAAATCTGGTTTCCTCCTTCCTTTAAATGGATAATTTAATATGCAGAAAATCACTAAACATCTGGTAGGCGATGCCACAAATTCAATCCATAAATAAAACACGGATGGCTACCTGGCACTGGGGGTAATTAAATTGGAAAATCTCAAGAGAGTGCTGAGGCACTGCCCAAGCCAGCAGCCCTCAACGTAAGAGCTGAGTTTTCTAAATTATGGGCTTTGATGCAGCATTTTAGAGACAATCTTTGCTTGTATGAAGACCAAAACCAAAACCAAAAATCTATGTCCTTTGGGTAGGCTCACAGTGGTAAAAAAGCCCCACTGTCTGCTGTAAAACTTGTCTGCTGTACCCTCAGGATATTGTAGCTTTTCTGATCTACAGCAGACAATTACCCAAATCAATACAGCCCAGCCTTGCTCACTGACACCCACAGTTATCTGTGGGGAGGAAAGGAAGGAAAAAAGGAAGGAAAGGAAGGAAAGGAAGGAAAGGAAGGAAAGGAAGGAAAGGAAGGAAAGGAAGGAAAGGAAGGAAAGGAAGGAANAAAGGAAGGAAAGGAAGGAAAGGAAGGAAAGGAAGGAAAGGAAGGAAAGGAAGGAAAGGAAGGAAAGGAAGGAAAGGAAGGAAGGACTCTTCCCCTCTCAGAGGATGCTCAAGGCTCAGGGACTGGGAGGTGTTGCTCTCTCCATGGTACAGACACTGCTGCAACCAGACAAAACCCACTCTGGAACTTGTCATCTGTTTATTCTGGGATTTATAGTTTTGCAAAGCGAGCACATAAAACACATGCTGTTAAACACAGAGAAAATATAAAGAGTCAGCTATTCTTCTGTCAAAACAGTCTCAGTCAGAAATACAAAGGAAGATCTCTTTGCTAAAGATTCCAGGGCAAAAGCCTGGTGCTGCCTCTGAAATTACACTCTTCACATGCACCTTGCCTCCTTAGTTACTGAGCACTGCAGCAAAACCTTGGGACTGAAAGACAAAGCACAGCCAGAGTTTCACTCACTCGCTGTGGAAGTGCTCCCCAGTTTCCCAGGAGTCTGGGAACAGTGCAGTGCTCACACATGGAGCAGGTTCTGAGGATGCAGAAAGCTTTACTTTTGAGGACTTTTTCTATACTACTTCTATAGGATCACAACAAATCCCATTACACAAATAATTTAAAAACATGAGGTACTTTCCTGACATATGCTGAGAGCTGAAGGTTCTGCTGTCAGTCACAGCCCAATGTCTTAACTGTAAATCAAAAACTGATTGCCCTGAAAAACTCTTGGTGTCCACAAATACAAACTTATATTCACAATATATTTTCTGCATTTCCAACATAACTCTTATAACCTCTCAAGGCTTAATCATCTGTTCATCGTGTGCTGATTACAGAAGTACTGTTCCTGTAAAGCTCCAGAACATGCTGTACCCCTGCAGCGTGGGCAGGGAGGAACAAGCCCCAACCGAAGCTCTCAGATTTTAGGGCACCCAACTCTTCCATCACTAGGAGGTGAATTTCTGGCATTCCAAATTTTTAAGAACTTTCACATAACTATGAACATTTCTTAATTAGTGTTTCCAAAAATGGAGACAGCAAAATCTGGGCAAATCCAAAAACATGACCCTTTCTGAGCTGTTTGCAAAGCTGGCAGTTGATCAGCCCTGGAGGAAGACAAGGCAGGGATGTGTGCAGGCCAGAAGGCTGCTGAGAACACAGAGGACTTTCCTTCCTGCCATATCTGTGTTGCAAAAGCCACAGCTGCTGTTTTGCTGGGCTCTGATGGAACAGCCAGGCTGGGTCCATGGTGGGGATTGCTGGACACAGGAGCCCATCCTTGTCTTGTCATTCTCCAGGCAGGACTGGGAAGCCTGGACCTCCAGCTCTCCCTTTTCTTTCTACAGAGACTGGCAAGCCCCAGGTGTTGATTCTTGTGGCAGCAAAACTGCAGTGGGCTGCAGGCTGAGGTCACACCCTCAGTGCAGAGCAGCTTCCACACGCCGAGCACAGACCACGTACCCAGAGAGGCTCAGAGCCTCCCAGTCACGTACAAATGAACAATTCACCTGTCAGCTCAGTGCAGCCACACCAGGGAGTGAAAAGCTTTGTCACGTTGTGGAGGTTTAAATAAACTGGTAAGAGATACTAGAGAGCTGAGAGGGAACTGCCAAAGCTGGAGTGCAGAGAAGGTTCATAACTGCTGTGAACTGGTCAAACAGGCCAGGCACCTCCAGCCAGTGCAGGGCAGCAGGACCACAGAGCTGTGGCTCATCTGAGCAACAGGCAGGTCTGCAAACTTCCACACAACTACTGCAATAATCCTGGCTAGCAGGAAAAATAAACTGTTTGGAATATTTATATAACAGTCACTACAAAGGCAAATGTCCTTCATCGTCAAGCAAGCACCAAGAATTTTATCTCATAGCATCATAGAACATCAGGTGGTATGAAATCATGAATTGGAATAGCTCTAGAAAAATACAAAAGGGCATTACTGAATGTAATAGTTTGAAGTGGGAGATATGTGAAAAATATATGTGAACAGTCCCATAACTAGACATTTATGATTCATCAAGAAGGATAAGAGTTGAAAAATCAGGATAGATATTGCAAAAACTCATTCTCAAGCGTTGCTGCACACATGCAAAATTGCCTGTGTAGAGAAAATTTGAGTTAAAGAAAAAGGTACAGAAAAGCAATTTCAGAAAAGTTGAAACGCTTCCCTATAATTTTCCCTATCTTTATTATTGACACAACTTTTCATAAAATTCCTATGATGAAAACTGAAAAGGAAGATGAGATAAATGCTCCTTTATTAGTCACTTCTCCCTTAACAACAGAAGTATAACACAATTGAAAAATGTTCCTTTGCTTTTTTAACCAACTACATGATCCTTCAATGATTTTGTTCTCTTGATGGAATGA